ACCCATCAACTAAAGCTCTGTGATTTTGGAAGTGCCAAAGTTCTGGTAATTGTTCATGCCGATCAAATCTTCCGCACTTCTAGAGACTATAGCTTACACATTTTCGTTGCAAATTGAATACATGTAGCATAGAACATGATAGATTGAGCTTTGGAGTAATGTGAAACCCCTTGTTCATTAAGACTATCTTGAATGTTTATTTTTCTACATTTTTCTTTTGAAAAGACTATTAAAGTCCAGCGAAGAAGTAAAGCCCATTTTTGTCACAGGTGAAAGGTGAGCCAAATATTTCCTACATTTGTTCGCGCTACTATCGTGCGCCTGAGCTGATATTTGGAGCTACCGAATACACTTCTGCCATTGACATTTGGTCTGTGGGCTGTGTTCTCGCTGAACTACTTCTGGGGCAGGTGCTGTACAAGTTATTGATAGTCTTTATGTTAAAGTTACCAATAATATGCGAGTTGACTAAATCCAGCTATTCTAATTTTTTTGTCATCCCAATATCACAGCCTCTCTTTCCTGGTGATAGTGGCGTCGATCAACTTGTTGAAATAATCAAGGTAATACTTCAAGTAAAGTGTGAACCTTTTATGTTAAGTTTATAAGTTATATAAAGTTTTTAAAATTGAATGTATGTATATATACATGTATAAAACTATAAATTTATCATTTCCTCAGGTTCTTGGGACCCCAACGCGTGAAGAAATCAAATGCATGAACCCAAATTACACAGAGTTCAAGTTCCCACAGATCAAGGCTCACCCATGGCACAAAGTAAGGGAACTTACATGTCTTCAGTTACTCTTTGTTGGATGGAAAGAAAATATGGAAAGAAGATAAAAGTGGAAAGTTGTAATTACGAATATTTTACCTTGTTCTTTTAAGAAAAAAATAGGGGAGTAAGGAAAATAATGTATATTTCCTTCCCACCACAATCTTTCCAACTTGAGAGAAAGCAAATTTGAATTGCGTTCTAGTTTTCCTAAGCTAATAAGATGAAAAAAATACACAACGGAAAATAAAATTTAGTTAGCCCGTATTTTCATTCCCATTTGAAAAATATTTTGCATGCCTTGATATCTTAAATTAATTCTTTCTCACAGATCTTTCATAAGCGCATGCCACCCGAGGCTGTAGATCTTGTTTCAAGGCTTCTCCAGTACTCTCCCTATCTGAGGTGCAATGCGGTGAGTATGATGGGAACATTTCATCAGCAAGAGCTTACCTATGTATATGAGTGTTGATCACCTGAAATTTACGAGTTTATTTGGTTTTTCATTTTGGCAGTTGGAGGCTTGTATCCATCCGTTCTTCAATGAGCTTCGTGATCCGAACACCCGCCTTCCTAATGGTCGTCCATTGCCACCACTGTTTAATTTCAGGCCTCAAGGTTCGATATCATATCCCTCTCATTCATCTTGCACATCTGCTCACAAATGCACTAAGAGGGTGTTTGGGAGTGTGGTGAGTTATGAAAAGTAGAAGTCATAATTTAGAAGCAGAAAGCATGTATTTGTAGCTTTGCTAGAAAGCACTTTTAGGCCTTAATTTTAACTTCTAAAGTCATAATTTATAAGCTAAAGCAGATTCGCAAACATTTAAAATTGTGTTTTAGTAAAGTTGAAGCTATAAGTTATTTTCAAATACAATCCCAAACACCCTCTAAGTATGTTTGAATCTCCTTAACTGATAGCAAAAAATGCCAAGGGGATTTGATTTCTTGTGTTCGGTTTTTAGCTCATAAACTTCAAATGAAATCAAATGAGTTAAATGCTTTAAAATTCTTGCATATATTTAGATATTTTTTTTCCCATGGGAAGATTATTTAGGGGTAAACGGAGTATTATACTCTCTTTCTCCCTAAACTGTCTTCGCATGGAAAATGACACAGAGATTAAGAGTGATAATGACATTATATATAAATGTCCATGCCTAGTTTTGGAGTAGAAATTAGTACTTCCTCTGTCTCATAATGCAAGCCCCGTTTTTCAATTCAATTTATAAAAATTATTTATTTAAAAACTAAATTAAGAACCCTATCGAACAAGATGTAGCTTGACTATCTTACATTGTTACGTTAACAAGTTATTGACAAAGAATATTTAACGGAAGAAGGGTTTGACCCTCTCAACAACAAATAAGAGTACGGAGTATACAAATCCATTGAATTGAGCTTTAATTAACTCATTCGGTACAAACAAATTACAACCCTCTCCCCCCTCCCTCACCCTTCGTCTCATGCTTTCCCGTGTTCCGAATTTTGCTCATATCTTCCACTAAAAATTGACAAGGATGACCAAATTGTGTGGTTTTTTGCAGAGCTGAAAGGAGCAACTCCCGAACTCCTAACGAAGTTGATACCCGAACACGCCAAAAAGCAGTGTGCTTGCCTTGGGTAGCCCTGGTATTTATGTGTATACATGAAATGATGAATGATGTGCAAACTACCCAAAAAAAATTAAGTTCTCTGAGGCTTGCTGAAGATAAAGATTATCATTAATTTTAGGATGCTCTATAAGTACCCTTATTTATTAATGCTCAACTGAGAACTGAGTTATGGAAACTGTTGTTGTAACCTTTGCTCTTTCATTTTGCTTTAGACTTGCAGATGGCTTTGCCCCACCCCCACCCCACCCCCACCCTTTGTTGTGTATTATTTACTCACTAACAAAACTATTTGTATTGCATATGCTATTTAATAATCTTGTTAGTTTTTTTTTGCCATTCATATTTTTGTTTTTTTATAATGCTTAGCAATCAAACTTGTGAATTTAGGTGTTGGTAAGAGCTTGGTCTTTTCACCTAATCTTAATAGTTGTAATTTGATTGGAATAAATTTTGATCTTGTCTGGATATGAATATAGTTGTAACTTGTACTTGAAGTTGTTTTTTATTTAATCTGATTTGAATTGATTTCAATAGGAATTAGTAATAAGTAATAATAAGAATAAGTTGAAAAAAAATTGGGGTTTTTATTGCTTTCTTTATTACGTGCTACTTAACATTATTTCACCATACAACTTTTAGTTTTCACAACCTCTGGCATCACATGTTGATAGTTTAACCAAACTTTGTTAAGTGTTTTATGTTTATGATATACTTGGTCGCTGAAATGGAATATTTCAACTTTTTATATAGTGGCATATTCAGAAACAAAGTGTGCGAATACACCTTTTGATAAAAAAAATTAAAAATGGGGAATAATGTACAAGTGCCCAGTGTAGAGTTTGCGTGTTTTTTTAAAAGACAATGCAAAATAATACTGGTAGTAAAATAACACAAAATAATAAAGTTTATTTCAAACAAACATTCAAGTAATTAAAATGAAAAATAATCTCAAAATGAAAAAAAATACTCGGTATGTAGTAAATGTACGTTGTTGATCATAACTAAAGTTAAATTTAAAACTACGGAGTAGGTTATTGATATTTTCAAAAAATCAACGCGATATTTGTATTACTTCGTAACAGATTGTACTTGGTCAAATTAGGAAATTAATTTTAAGATGGATAAAGTAATTTTTTAAAGTGACGTGAAAAATATTTTGGAATATAAAAGGTACAAAAAAGTTCATGATAAAGCCAACTAAAAAAAGTCACTAGTATACACTCCGGTTTTGTTATTTAAGATCCTAATCCAGTAATCCTTAACTTCAAGGGATAAAAAATTTTCAACCCTTCATATTTTTCCCCAATTTATCCATTTTTTTTGTTTTTTCTAACCTTTAGATTTTTTGACTTTTACAGTTTTTTCCTATATGTAACTATTTTTAAAATCCAAAAGATCGGAGCGTCTATGTATTTTTTCAGTTGCCAACACACTACAACTCTATAATGTCAATCTTTTTTATTTTACGAATGCATATTTTTCCCAATTCATTGAATAAAATAACAGGACAGAGGGAGTAACTCATTTTTGATATTATGATTTTCTAAAAAAGGAAGAGGTGAACACTTTTTCCCAGAATTTCCTATTATTCTCTTAAAAAATAGGTTGAAAGAAGGTAAATTAAATTATAATCTCAGTCTTATTGAGATTGTGAAATACTATTCATAGTACATGCAAAATTTCTACGCAACATAACCCCTTTTTATCTTCATAGTAAATAGTCAAATCTAAATTTATCTTTATAACATTATTCTTTCGACGATTTGAGCTGGGGCACAATCTCTTACAACGATTGCCTCAATCCCGATGGCCCCTCACCGATGAGAGAAGTTAATTAACTTTGATTGCAAATTGATAACAATGAAAAGAGTCTACATATAGTATTTGAAGAAGTCCTATGCCCAACATATTTGCCTATTCACACAGTTATCAGAAATTAAACTCAGATCTCATTCGATTGACACTGCTTGTCTTTGCTTTTGCTAACTCGACAAGACACCCAAAATCTTTTCCAAAAAAAGGATGAGTCCCATTTTGAGAGTTTCCTCAGATTTGGCTGAACGGTGAATAAGAAGAGATACAAAGAATGTAGTCTGCATCTGATACTTAAAAAGACCAGAAATCGAACTCAAAGTCTTACTCTCGTGACACTCTTTAGCTTTGTCAACTGCACGACCAACCAAAATCTTTTCCAAAAAAAATAAGCCCCATCCCAAAGGCCCCTTCAGACCCAGCCGGACGATCAGTGAAGTAAATTAGACTTTAAATTAGACTTTAATCACCGGACCTGTGGCAAAGTGTGATGTACTCCCTCAGCCCCCTAAGATGTTCTCATTTTGACTTTTGGTGATTTTTAAGGAGAGTTGAAAAAAGGTGAAAGTTTACCATAATATCTTTAATGAAAATGGGTGGAGTGTATTAAATGAGGTGGGTGAGATGTAATAAATAAAGTAAGTGGGGGTAGTTGGGGTATTTTAATTGTTAAAAAATGAAATGAGAAGATCTATTGTGGACAAAGAAAAAGGGCGGAAGATACATGGGAGAGGGTGGGAGGATGAGACTATGAGTAGTTCCAAAAGGAGTAGCTTTTCCAGTTAAATTTCCCGTCTCTCAACTGTGACGTCTCTAACCTCTTCCTTTATCCTACCAAAATCAGGAATCAGGAAGCGCGGTCGCCGTCTTTCTCCCGTCGCTCTCAAATTGTTTTGCTTCAATTTCCTGCTCGGACATACACGAGTCCAAAGATAGAGGACGAGCAAAACTGTCGGACCCGTCGAGCATTTTATCGCATCTCTCAATCGCTCTTTTTTTTCGGGATCTAAGCGACGCACGGTTTCCGCTAGAATTGCATTTCGTCTTTGAGATTCGGACGCGTTCGAGATCTGAGCTGACTGGTTTGTATAGACGCGTAAAAAATCCATTTTTTTGTGTTCGAATTGGTATCTAGGGTTTGAGGTCGTTATTCATTTGATTGTTTTTCTGTTTGCCTCGCACTTTTTTTCCCATCCAATGCTCTATAGCTGTTTGATTTTTGTTTTATAGCTCGTTTTGTAAGTTGTATGGTTAGTATGAGCAGATCTCTTGAATTGAGTTAGGAAGGAGTTGGTCGCCTGACTGCATGGATGGAGGGCTTTTCAAATTTGATGTCATTCTTGTTGTTTTAGTTGAGCTTCTGATTGGATTGTGCGATTCTTTTTGTGTGTTTAGTCATCTATGTTTGCCTTGTGTGTTATCATTTTTAAAACGTAGTCATGTTGTTCCATACCCTTTGTGCTCATGTGCATCACTAGTGTGTCTGTGTGTGTTTGTGCAAGTGAGGGATAGGAAACACTGAAACTGTGCTGTCTTTTAGTTCGTGATTACGGTGTCCCTCTGTTTGATTGTTTGAATCTCAACTTCTCCAGGTGGTACAAAGATAGCTTTGGTATGACAGAAACAACATCTGATTCTCCACGCTTTGCCCCTGAGGACCCTTCTCTCCCTAAACCTTGGAGAGGCCTTGTTGATGGTAAGACTGGGTATCTTTACTACTGGAATCCAGAAACCAATGTTACTCAGTACGATAGGCCTGGGTATGTAAGTTCTTCTGTTCAGAAATCTTCCGAAGGACACCACAGAGACGATGCTGATGATAGGTATGACAGAGTTTACCGCGGTTCAAGTAAGGGTTCTGGTAGAGAGGACTATAAGGTAATTCTGCTTTCATCTGCTATTACTGTGTTTTTGTGCATTTGATTTTTTTATATAACCTGTTTTTTCCAATGAATGTTATGCTGCGACCATGGTAAAAAATGTGGTATCATGGTAAGCGCACCTGAATTCAAGGCATTGCTAAATGATGCAGAATGAAGGGGCTTACTCCTCTCATGACACTTAGAGGCTCAAGCCTAAACATTTTGTTGACTCTTTAGGAAATATTTTAAATACAAACCTTATACCTTAATATCCTTATGAGATCATCTTGTCCTTTATTGTATGCTGCTCAAAAAGTTTGGCTATATTCAAAAGTTTATCTTCATTAAACATAACAAGAATAATGCCTTTATCTGACTTTTAACGTACTACAAAGCAATATAAACTCTTGCATTGTGTGGAGTACATGTAAATTTGCCTCCTCTTCTTGCACCCAATATGATTCGAATAGTGTATTGCAATTACAACAACAACAACGTAGTAGAATCCCGCAACGGCAGGGTCTGAGGAGGGTATGTGTATGCGGACCTTACCCCCACTAAAAGTAGTGAGGCTGTTTCCAAGAGACCCCAACTCAAGAAACACAGAGAACAACTAGTACAACAAAAGCACAATACAACAAAGGCACAAGGGGCAAACAAAAAAGGCAAGAAAAGCGTGCTAAGATAAAAGGCACATAAATAGGTATGAAAAGAAAGACAACAAGCCTACAAAGAACACATAGAGGAGAATAAAACTACCACCCTGGACAAAATGACTACCCAACAATTCTAATTCTAGATCTCCAAATGTTCATATCTAAGGTCATATCCTCGGTAAGAGCCAAAAGTCCTAAGTCTTGCCTAATAGTCTCCTTCCAATTCCTCTTAAGTCTACCCCTTCCCCTAGACCCATCTACTATCTGAAGTCTCTTGCATCACAACAACGGGGCCTCAGGTTCACGCCGCTTCACGTGACCAAAGCATCTCAGCCTCGTCTCGCTCAGCTTATCCTCCACAGGAGCAACTCCCACTCCCCTCTAAATAACCTCATTTCGTATCCTATCCAACCTTGTGTGCCTATACATCCACAAAAGCTTACGTATCTTAGCCGCATGGAGTTGACGAACATGTGCCTTTTTGACCGCCCAACATCTCGCTCTATAAAGCATAGCCGGTATGACTACGGACCGATAGAACCCACCTTTCATCCTTTCTCAAATTTTCTTATCGCACAGAACCTGACGCCAACATCCACCTTTGAGTCTTGACACCCGCCCACTAAACCCACACTCCAAGTACTCATTGTTAGTCCTGCTCAATCTAAAGCTCATAGATTCCAGTGTCTGACACCAAAACTCCAACTTAACATTGAGTCCTTCACGAGTCTCGTCGATCAGTACCATATTGTCAGCATGCACTAAGGGACCTCCTTTTGAACACCATGCCTTGAACACCATGCGATAAGACATCTATCACCGTGGCAAACAAGAAAGGACTAAAGGCCGAGCCTTGGTGTAACCCCACCTTTACAGGGAAGGGATCAGAGTCACCCCTGCCAGTCTTCACCCTAGTCCTCGCCCCAATGTACATATCTTTAACTGCACGAATATACACAATTGGAACCCCTCTAATCTCAAGACATCTCTGTAAGACCTCTTGCGGGACCCTGTCATACACCTGCTCAAGATCAATGAACACCATGTGCAGGTCCTTTTGAGCTCTATACTCTTCCACCAGCCTCTGCAGGAGGTGAATAGCTTCTGTAAATTATAATTACTCTGTACATGAAAGTATAAAAATACTCGTATATGATACCACTACTCGAACTATAAGTTATACTCTGTATAACACTCTAATGATTATCGAAATACCAATGCATAAATTTAAATATAATGTTAGATGATAAAGAAGTGTCCATGATAAACAATTAAAAACACCACTTCTAACCGGGGGAAAAAGTTAATGGAAGTTATATATTAAAGAATTGGGAAATAGAAAAAAGAAGAGATAAACATTAAATATAAAAAAACCAAGGTTAACACGACGCCATGGTGAGGTGCAATCATGCAGTGCTAGTGTATTGCTAAGTTGCCTAGGAGACCAATCTTAAATTATATATTTTTAGTTAGTTAATAACATCTATCTACAATGTCACCATAGTTTAATGTCCATAAACAAACTCCCTCGTCCAGTGTTATTAAGTCATCGAGTAGTCGTTGACTACGTGTTGGGTTGTTGGGAAGGGACGATGTTGGGTTGTTGGGGATGGATGACTTGCGGTGGCAACTATCATTTGGAGTAAAGGATTACAGAATCCAGATCTGAAAACCCTAACCTATGACAAAATTCAAAAGTAGATTCGTTGCCTCTGCAGCATTTGCATCTCTACCACATGCAGTTGACGAACGCGAGCTTTCTTATCTTACTTTATTTCATTTTTATGAATTGAACATGTGGCTCAAAAACTTCTATCATCTAAACAATTCTTATGACTCACTTTTCACTTTTTAACGCTTTCGTAAAATTTGTGATAGTCAAACGAGATTTTTTTTTGTGGGACATAGAGAGTTGAAAGTACAAACTCTGAACCATTCTTAATGTAAATAAAGCTACTTCCTTAGTCCCTCTATCCCAAAAAAGGTTCTGCATTTCCTTTTTGGTTTGTCTCAAATAAGATTCCAACTTACCTTTGAGAAAATACTTGTGGTTTTCACATTATTTTTCTCTTTTGCACAACTCTCAACCACACAATTTCACCTTTATTAATAACCACACCAAGTCAAATGAGCAACTTTATTTTGTGAAGTAGAAAGTACTTGCTTAGAGATAAATGCAAATTAAAAATCTGAAATAAAAACATTGACTAGTCGTTGCAAAATATTGACCATCCTGTGGTCAAAACCGATGGCCAAAGTTTAACAGCTTCAGTCCCTTGGCTGAACAAACCTCTACTTCAATCTGTGTCAGTGAAGGGCGGACAACATGCCTTGGTTGAAGTGAGCTTTAAGTGGTATCCTATGGCCAAGGACTTTTGCCTTGAGTCCATGGTCAAAGGGGGTGGGGACTGGTGTCTTGGTCGACCAAGGTATAAACAAGGTCCAAGCAAGTCTAACATGGTCGAATGTCTCTAAACTTGGTCAAAGAAAGTCTATCAATGAGATAACCCCGTCACCCTGGTGTTTTCCACTATGGCGTGGAAATAAATGTACCATGGCTCTTTGATCAATGCAGGAGACTGACCAATGACCATGTTTTTGGAATTCTCTGACACATTCATTCGACCTTCCCAATTGGTGTTTGACCATCGGCCAGATGTGTTGACCATTGTCGATTACACGATCTTCCCTTTAGGCGAGTCGAACAAGCACAATCAAAAGTTGCTAGCACTAGAACTCCTAGACTTTACACTTTGATAACAATTGAGAGAATAGAAAAATGAGAACTGGAAAGTGTTGTTCTGGGTGAAATACAAAAAATTCAGAGCTTGATAAAGTAGAATTTAGAACTTACATGGAGACACAAGAACAACAAACTTAGCATTATCACAAATTCTGAACTTTGTTGGGGTCTGATGGACTGGATTTAAGTAAGAGAAAAGGAGACCAATTGAGAGTGGTCAGCGTGCTGAAGTGTGCGACCACGATTTCCAAAAGGTGTGCCTGGTTTGTAGAATTGATGTGTTCTGCTTTGAATACATGTGCTAATAAACAAAAATTAACCCGGGCAATCCCAAGCTAATGCGGTTTAACTAGCTTGGGGCAACCTTGTGGTGAGTTGCTACAATTAGGTAATGCCCAATTGTCCGCCGCTGCATTGCCCAAAAGAAGTTGAGGCATCAATGTGGTGTCTTCAGGGGAGCGCTACACCGCATAATTGTAGGAAGGATTAGATGCTGCCTTAATGTCTAATGGATATGTTTAAACATATTTTTTATTGATGGTATGATCAATTTTATGCTAATTATGATGTTCTTTATGAGGCTGGACTGCATTTAAAAGCTATACATATTTTTTTACCTAGTGAGATAAGGCTTTGTTGTTGTTGTTTGTTGTTTCTCTGAATCTAGAATGTTTATAATAGATTTGCTCTCATTTCCTTTTCAATACAATTTCGTTTTTCATTATTTATGTATGTTTTGCAGACTGAAAGAAATAACTTTGACCATTCTCGTAGCATTTCAAACACCACATCTGCAGTAGGAAATGGTTCATCTGCTTATAAAGATAGCTCATCAAATGCGGGAAGTGAATTATCTCCAGATTCTTATCGCCGTCGTCATGAAATATCCGTAACGGTACACTTCTTAACAATTTTACAGAGCTGCAGGCATATCTATTTGTGTTAGGTTCACATTTGCTTTACATGTCATTGGGCTCGCTAGCCTTGTGTTTGACCTCTCCCCATGGAGAAAAATAATCCTACTAAATGATTTGCTGTAATTTACCTTACTTTTGAAAACATAGAGGCTTGTACAAGGTAATGATGCTGTTCTGTTTAATCTTGAATTCAGCTCCTGTATTAATCAATTTTACCTAAACAAGCAACAGTTGCATACTTATTAATTCATTTGACTGTTTCTTTTTTCATTCCTTAAAATGAAGGTATGCAGTATATTTAAGCGCGAAAATTTGCTTGCTCGTGAACGGCCTGCCTTATAATCATCTATTTTTTTTCTTGTTTCAGGGAGATAATGTGCCTCCACCGTTGATGTCATTCCACTCAACTGGGTTTCCATTGGAGATTTTGAGAGAGGTATTCCAGGAGTCATTTTTTCTCTTTAAATCCCTGGTGAATTGTGCTCTGCAAAGTTAATGATCTGAGAGCACATGTTCCTCTGAAACATTTTGCGGTTCCGGAAGGCCTCAGTCAAACTGTAGCACTCAAAAACTAGTTTTTTGCCTATTCAATTTTGTGGCAGTGCGATATTTGCTCCTGGGAGGAGCTAAATGTCGTACACTGCTTTGGAGTACTTTCATGACTTTGGAGTGCCCTTATTTCGAGGACCAATTTTCATGAAGGGATTTCTTGTCATCCATGTTTGTGGCCAGGACTGCTGTTGGTGATGAGTCAATTTGCCACGTGGTCCGAATGGAAGAAGAGGCGTCCTCCTGCTCTTAGCTTGCCTATGTAAGGGGGATGATTCTTCTTGCTGTGGGCCACTCTAAGTCAAGCACAAGACATTCCAAAAATGTGAAGAAGTTTTTATATCTATTGATGGGAGTGGTGAATTTTTTGCGTCTTTAGGTACATCAAGCTGGGTTTTCAGCTCCTACACCGATACAGGCCCAATCGTGGCCTATAGTTCTTCAGGGCCGAGATATTGTAGCTATTGCTAAGACTGGCTCAGGAAAAACCTTGGGCTACCTTATCCCTGGATTTATACATCTGAAACAGTGCCGTAATAATCCTCGATTGGGTCCCACCGTGTTAGTTTTGTCACCCACAAGGGAGTTAGCAACACAGATACAAGAGGAAGCTGTGAAGTTCAGTAAATCTTACAAGATATCTTGCACAGTATGTGTTTTTTGTGAGCATCTTAGGAGCCTATTTGGGATGACTTGTAATTAAGTGATTTTATCATTAGTGCATTCTCATTTAAGCACTTAGGTCATTTTTATACTTTAAGGTAGTGTTTGGCAACTAGTATTTCATTTCAATTCATGTATTTCAATTCCAAAATTTGAAATCTTGAATTTCAAATGACAAGGAGATATGCATAAATTTCAAATTAAGCTTTGTTATCAATGAAAAGAATTTGACTCAAATCCAAATTCAAAATTTTTAAGTTTCCCAAACATGGAATTTGAACCAAATCCGGATTTGAAATCCAAATCCATGTTTCCAAACATACCATAAAGTGTTTTTCTGTTTTCTTGTTAATTGTTGCTAAATGTTTTTTTTGAAGTTATCCAATCATTCCCATTTAAAATATTCTTCCAAAAAGGAAATGCTATTGTAGCCCCATCAATGCATGAAACAATCGATAATCAGTTTTGTTTATTTTTTTTATGTATGTTAACCCTAACCCACCATCTTCTTTAGAACAACTCTTTCTCCATTCATTTTCTTACTTTTTTGCGGTATTATGCATTTATTATCTATCTTCATTTTTTTGGTAAATTCATGCTACACGGACAGTGTTTATATGGAGGCGCACCAAAGGGTCCACAACTGAGGGATGTAGATAGAGGGGTAGATGTTGTAGTGGCCACTCCTGGACGTTTGAACGACATTCTGGAAATGCGAAGAATTAGCCTTAAGCAGGTTTCCTACTTGGTGTTAGATGAAGCAGATCGTATGTTGGACATGGGGTTTGAACCTCAAATAAGGAAGATTGTGAAGGAGGTCCTTGCTCGGAGGCAAACTCTTATGTTCACAGCAACATGGCCAAAGGAGGTCCGGAAAATTGCTGCTGATCTGCTGGTTAATCCTGTGCAGGTTAACATTGGGAATGTTGATGAGCTTGTTGCAAACAAGGCTATTACACAGGTTTTTACCTTTGAATTTCCATCCATGTTTTACTTGCAAATTTGTTTTATGAAATTTTACGATGTAGTCTGCACTCCCTCCCAACTTAAGGTCCTCACTTACCTTATATGGATGTCCTCAAATAAGCCCCCCATTCCCTTTGAGGAAATAAATCTTATTCTTTCTATGTAGACAATATTCTTTCCAACTTTTCCAAACAAATCTTATCAACACAATTTTAAGCACCTCAATCAGATTATTCTTATGAATTAAGAAAACCTTGGCGGGGTCATCTATTAGCAGGCGGAAGATGTGTTCTTATATGTAGCTTTTAGTAACTCTGCTCTATTGCCCTCACTTCCTGTCAGTATATTGAAGTGTTGCCACAAGCAGAGAAGACGAGGAGGCTAGAACATATATTAAGATCTCAAGAACCAGGATCCAAAGTGATCATTTTTTGTTCAACAAAGAAGATGTGCAATGCACTTGCTGGTACCCTTACTCGTCAATTTGGGGCAGCAGCTATTCATGGAGACAAATCTCAGAGCGAGAGAGATTATGTTTTAAAACAGTTTCGCACTGGTAGGTCCCCAATTCTTGTGGCAACCGATGTTGCTGCTCGTGGTTTGGACATCAAAGATATCAGGTTTGTGTAAAACATTGATTTTTATCGCATAGATGTAAACATGCCTCTCCCCCACGTGTTTTTGGATCTCTCAGAAAATGCAAGATATAGATAAAAACAAATAAAGAAGATTAATTTTTAATTCTTTTTATTTATATTTAGATTTTTTAATCTTTATATAATAGCAATAAATGAGTCGAGTTTGAATAAATATACAGTAATATAAATATATTGAGTTCAGATTTATCTGCGGTTTCCCCCAAAATGTCTTTCAAGTTCTATATTTTCTTTGCCATTACGTTTTAACTTCTACTCCCTTAATAAATAACACATTTTCCTTTTTGGTCTGCCTCGAAATAAAAGCTCATTTCCATTATTGGTTAGGAATATTTGGCTATCATGATTTCTCTCTTTCCTTTCAATTCCAACCATTCTTTTTTCATCTTAACACTTTTCTTTAGCTTTTTTCACCCTGACACTTTTCTTAAACTCTGTGTTCGGTCAAAGTGGACGTTTAATTTGGGGCTTTCCCCGCTTTGTGTTCCAAATGGACACTGATTTATTTAGGCATCTGTCACAGGGTTGTAATAAATTATGACTTCCCTACCGGAATAGAGGATTATGTTCACAGAATAGGAAGGACGGGACGGGCAGGAGCAACTGGTGTTGCGTACACCTTTTTCACCGACCAGGATGGCAAATATGCTGCCGATCTCATTAAGGTCTTAGAAGGTGCTAATCAACGTGTTCCTGCTGAACTACGGGATGTCAGGTCACGCAGTGGTGGAAAGGGAAAGGCCAGGCGTGCATGGAGGTCTGGCCCAGCTAGACGTGAAGGAGGAGGAGGACATGGGCGCAATGATTCAGGCAATGGCGTGCGCGATGGGGGTGCAAGGGGATGTTTGGGTATGTCTTCCTCATTAGGTAGAGGCGGCAGTGGTCCTGGATTCGAACGTGATTCAAGCGACAGGTAATGAAAACTCTTCCTTTCTGTAATTATTTTTTTAAATTACATGGAAAACTATTACTGGTTTTTTATAGAATTGTATTTTTTTGGTCCTTAAGTGGATGAAAATGACACTTAAACCTTCATATTTTAATCCTTTTCATCAATTTTATTTTTAAAAAATATACTTAAGATAAATCAGATTCATTCAATTTAGTCAAATATACCACAACTGCATCGGATTTGGTTCCACACAAAATAAGCTCTATAGTTTCTTTGAAAGTGTCAGGGGCCAAAAAGAAGTATATGAACCATCACTCTTCACATGAAACAAGATAGAGATTATTCTTGTATTCGATTATATCCAGTTATCCACAGCATTTACATTTTCTTTTTGTTTGATCTTCTTTATGCAGACATGGCCACAGCACTCATGACAACAATGGTCTCGGTAGTAACCATAACCGCGCTTCTGACAGGTTTGGCCGCAGTCGGAGTAGAAGCCCAAACCGGGGGGCTTCAAGATGGGGCGGCGGCGGCGATGGTAGTAGGAGTAGGGCCCGCAGCCGCAGTGTTGAGAGGTTCGACCGGTCCCGCGAAGGCCGGAGTTTCCACGAGGAGGCCACGGCATCCCGGGCAGGAACATCCGTGAAGCAGAGATTGCCGCCAGCGTACGAGGCCGAGAACCACTACGGCCCCAAGACGGAGAGCCTCAGAAGGTCATACGATAACGGGCCCAAGCATCGGGAAAGGTCGCCTCCGCGGCAGAGTAATGGGAAATATGCTGGCGACACTTCTCGGCAGAACAGCGGGGAGGAAGAGGAAGGCATATTCCATCCCCCGGACGAGAAGGTTTACTGAGAGATGGTAAGGATGGTCTTTGTAATGGTCACGCCAGACTTTGTGGGTGAAAATTGTAGCAGGAGAGGATTGTTTGCATTGTTTTGTGATTGGAAGTGTGTGTGTAATAGGACTGACTACTTGTTTAGTAATGTGGGTTTTACATAATATATAGATTGGGTGTGATGTGTATTTTAAATTACTGATAGATAGAGAGATATATATAATGTGGACTATTATTATTGACTCAAAATGACATTGAATTCATTACATTTGTGGTCATTATATTCTGTAGATTATGCTTGGCTCTTATATCAGTGTGTACACATACCCATCCCTTTTGTTCAACCATGTTAGGGTAGACCAAAAAGTGTATCCCAAGTTACACTCCAAAGAAATGTGTTGACATTTTAACTGTTCACACTAGTACAAGATGCTAGTTCAATAAAAAAATTGCACTGACATTTTGTGTTATTGTAAACCTCACCCTAGTTTTATACTAGCACAAAATACTAGTACATGTCTTTCGGGCACAAATAACTTAATTTCTATTTGAAATGTAGAGAGACGGTTTCTAGAGGTGTCCCAAGTCATCAACCTTAGGGCCACATCAATATTCTATTGCAAAGGTACAACAAAGCTTTTTTGGTTTTCTTAAGTGAAATTTGCATAAGATTAAAACATAAGTATTTAATAATGTCTAGTGAGAGAATTATGTCTAGTGATAGTGACCAATGTTCTTATATTGAGAAATAAAAACATATATTTCTATATTGAAAAAATTATTATGTTTTAGTCTTATTTTGATAAATTCCTCTTTTCTTAAAGGAAAAAGTGTAAAGTACTTTAAATTTACATAAGTAAGAACACATTAAATGTAAATAGAATAACATAAAAACAAAGGCACAACAAAGGTTTTTGGTTTTTGGTTTTTTTAACGCTTTTAACATTTTTATTTTAACAAAGGCACAACAAAGGTGGAGGATGTGTGCATGGCAGAGGGAATCGGGGTAAGTGAAGCACTCAGCTGGCTTAAGGGCATATTTAGAGACCGAATAATCACACTGGAGATGGATAACCAGATACTTTACTTTGCTCTCCAGGCGCGGGAGGAAAACTTTTCATACTTTTCAGGTTTGGTCTTTGATTGTAAAACATTGATGTCAGAGTTTTATTCTGTCTTTTGTTCGTAGATCTGCGAATGAGGTGGTTCACTTGTTGGCTCGAGCCTCTGATTCTATGCCTGATCTATTGGAGTGGGATGATACCCCTCCTGCGATTATTTGTGATGTTTTGCAAAAAGAGTTGAGAATTTAATAAGAATGTTCCCTTGATTTTCAAAAAAAAACATTTTTATTTTACTTTTTAAGGTTTCTGGTTTCTTTACGGAGTACAAAACAGTGGTAGCGAATTTTTTTATTAGAAAATATTGAAGACTATCTTCTAAACTTTTTCCACTTTCGCCCCTAAAAATGTTTCTATTTATGAAAATAGTTGGATTTAAGAAATACTCCGTATGTAATATGGGTGTTACTTCTTCCGTCCAGAACGTTTTTTAGTTTTGACTTTTTGTATTTAATTAAGATTGACCTTCGACTTATAATTAAATAAATCTAATACTGCGTCCATCCCAATTTAAGTCGCATGCTGTTGTTTATTAGATTTGACTGAAGTTACTTACAATACAATTTATTTGAAAATTTGTATGGAATTAAAAAACAAATTTATGTATTTGAAAACTATATAAAAAATTCTATAAAATAAGAAGTAACAAGACTACATTATTTTCTCAAATGGGTAGCAAAAATGGGTAGAAAGTGTGGTTAAAATTTGACCATGTGAATAATAAACACAAAACATGCAACATAAATTAGGGCAGTAAAACTTTTCTTGTATCAATGTCCAATATAAATTTTGTTTAATTAGTGGTCAATATTTTTTATCAATTTTGAATTTAAAAACTTAAATTTGGAAAAATACTCTAGCTAGAATGGAAGTAATACGTACTTTTCAAAAAAAATTCTTTTCAAACGTGGAAAATTTAATCTATTTTAAAATGATAGGATAAACAAACTGGTGTAGAAATAAAGAGTATAACTTACATATTTAAAAATTACATCAAAACTTATACTCCGTATAAAACAAATAACGACATGAATATTTTATTTTATCACGTAAACATAAATAATTGAAAGTCTGAAATACTTCCTCCGTGTGTACATTTCTTCCCCAGGCCAGTTTTACTTCCGTAGTCAAACTTTTCAAATTTTGACTAAAAATTACAGAAAGAATACATTGGATTAACATATAAATCTGATAGAGTAAATTCCATAATTGGCCCTTTATAACAGGGAGGTTTCCCTATTTAGTCCTCTATTATCAAATATTACCCCAGTGGTCCTTTTTTATGGGTATCTTTCCATAAATAGTCCATTTTTTGATCTTATATCATGTTGGTGTTAATTTGAGGGCTAAAAGTGTAATTTCACAATCATAATATATCTTTTTTGTCATACACAATTCCAAAGGATGTTCCGTTTGCGTCATTTGTGAATTACAATCGTTTTTTACTGCAACCATAGTCTATAAATGTGGTCTTTCGTCGGAATCCTAGCCCATAATCATAGTCATTATTTTTGTGTTATCCACTTAACCAATATCAGAACACGTCACTAGACATAATGTTGATGTCAAATTATACTTTTAGCCTTTAAATTAACACCAACATGGCAGAAGATCAAAAAAAGGACTATTTGTGGAAAGGCACCTTTAAAAAAAGGACTACGAAAGTAATATTTGATAATAAAGGACTAAATATGGAAACCCCCTTGTTATAAAGGACAAATTATGGAATTTACTCAATCTGATATTAATAGATTCATTTTAAAATGTTCTCCCTCCTTCACGGAGTATTTGTCCACTTTTGACTTTAGATTATTATCATCTGTGTATGTACAAATCATCTGTGATTGCCTCTCATACATGACTATAATATTTTTCAAATGAATAAAGAGAAAGGAAGGGAGAAAGACCAAAGTAGGACTAAAACATTGAAATTATACCAAAATAAGACTTCCATGTTTTTATTTTAAAAATATGACTTAAACTGTATTTACATTACCAAACGTGATCATGTACATTACCAAAAAGTATAATAATGTGCACATGTACAGTGTCACATTATCACAGTGCAAAATCCTATTTCGGAAAAAAACATGAAAATCCTATTTTAATATTTTTCTCTATGTTTATGTTTTAGTGATTTCTAAAAAAAGGAATAAACTTAATTTGGGAGTGAAAGTATGCGTGTATAGGCATGCAGGACGTACAATTAGGTTGAAAGAGAAGTATTTTTATATTAATGGTAGATGAGAATCGTGTTTTCGTTACAATCCGTACGTACCCACCTGCCTTCTTTGCGATTCCATGCTCCTAAATTATTCATAAACTCATTCTAATTAATGTTCGAGAAAAATTATTTTTAGTTTGATTTATTTAAATAATGGTATATATATAAAATATACAATCTTAAAAATAAACGTTGAATATTTTAAAAATACATTAAAAAAAAATTCTTCAGAAATAAACTCTGACATAATTGTCATCCTTTCCAAATAAAAACACTTTCCTCCTTTCTTCTTCTTCTTCTTCTCTGAAGCCATGGTTGGTGAACCTTGATAAGCCCAGCTAGCATAGCTATCTGATTTATAAACACCCACAAAAGAAATATGAGTTGTTTTTTTTTTCATACCCAAAACAATTAATTTGACACAAAAAAAAGAAGAGAAGGAAATAAAAAAAAAATATGCAGCAGCAGCTTCATTTATGGGGTGGACTAGAGAGCAATGATCACAAGTGGTTGTTGGACTGGACAAAGTGGAGAGTGTTTTTGTGTGCAGCAATGGTCATCTTCTACATGCTCTTAGCATTCCTTCTGCTGTGGAAGTACCAATGGTCGGCGGCAGGCAGCGGCGGCAGCCAGAATGATGGCGGCAGTGGCAGCGGTGGTGATTCAAAAACATGGATGCCATGTGTGAAAGAAGTGAGCCCAATATGTTTGATGGCCTTTAGAATGGTTTCTTTCTCTCTTCTTGCAGCAACACTCACTTGCCATGTTGTGGTCTATGGTGGCACCCTCTTCTACTACTATACTCAGTAAGGTCTCGTCTCGTTCAACTTATTTTTTCTACAAAAAAAATCAGATCAGCTTAGATTCAATTCACATGCATCTTTAATTAAACTTTTATTGGGGATGAGTTAGACTTAGGGTTTGTTTTCTCACTTGATCTCAGTGAAATAAATTCTGATCTTATGTGATTGTAGTTGCATTGAAAACTATTTTCTGGTATGATATGGTCATCGGATTTGATCTGATTCAAATAAGAATAAGTAATTAATTTAATATATTCTCTCCGTCCGAGAACATTTGTCAAGTATCAAACTTTAACCTATAATTAAAAATATTGAGATAGGTTTAATGAAATTATTCTTGTATCAATATCTGATCTGAGCTGGTTTTTGGTTGTGGGCATGCTTGCTTGCAGGTGGACTTTCACATTGGTTACCATTTACTTTGGGGTATGTATGCAAGACTGCACTCTTTCCTTATTGTGAAAAATAAAAATGATACTCTCTCCGTCCCGTAAAACTATTCATTTTTGAAAAAATGTGCACCCTTAAAAGAGTAATTTTGGTTATATTTTCTATTTTTGCCCTAATTTTATGATATAGTAGAATGAGATGTGTTGGATCGATAAGTCATAATTTGAAAATAACACAAAAATTACTCATTTTAAAGAGGAGTCTTTTTTCAAACATGAAGGGTTTTATGAGACGGAGGGAATACATTTTTTTGTCTATCGCAATGTGTATTTGTATTGGTGGTAGCTCATATTTGGCAAAAAATTTCAACTTATTTACTGAAATGTCACCTTGTATTCCTAAATTTCCCCCCTTTTTAATACTCTCTCTTTCTCTCTGTTAAAATATTTCAACTTTCACTTCTTATTCGTCCCATAAATTTTTTTTAATTTCGTCTAAATGGAAACAATTGCCCCTACTTTTCTTAAATCTAACCAAACGAACCTCAATTATCTTCTATGCTCTACACATTTTGACATTTTCGAGCCCAGCTTGTTTCAATTGTCGTCGTTTCACCTTAGTCAAACTTATGTATGTCCCCACCCCAAAAGTAAAAAAACCGAAAAGCTTTTCCATAAACATAAATATGCATCGCGATAGACAAAAAATAAATTATTCTCGCTTTCGCGATAAAGTTAATTTTCACCTGAACCGTACCCTATATGTATAAAATGCAGTTTGGTTCAGTGCTTTCAATACAAGGATGTTGGCAGCGCAAGAAATCAATGGAAAGGGTTAGTGATGATAGATGGACGGATGAGATTCAAGGGTTGGAAGATACACTTCTTGCAGGCACAGGGTATTGCCGTGGAGCCAAAGCACTTGATTACCACACCACACTCCAATTCTACCAAGAAAGATCTGCTGGATTTTTTGCCAATGTGTTTCAACTCCTTTTCCAGGTATATATATTGGGCCCGGTTCTGTGGTCACTGGCTTATGGAGTCACTGACAGTGCCATTGTCTTTTTGAAGTGTTTACTTCTTTTGAACCCTCCACCGCAACCCCACTCATTGAACTTTTCTCCTCTTTTTCACCCATTCCAAAAACCTTTCACATTTCTGTTAAAAAGTCACTTTTAGTCTTACTCATTCTTATCCTAGATATCACATCATATTTTTCACTGTTAATATATTCATCGCATCCTACTTTACCCATAACATCCAAGGGTATTTTTGGAAAGTCAACGACAAAATACACACTCTTAAATTTTTTAAAAGTCAAGACTAGAAAGGTTTTGTCGGAGAGTGGGAATAGATAATTGGAACATCATTAAAAAATAAACTTTACATTTTAAAAAAGTACATCAAAAAGCTCTGATCTACGAAATAAGAAGTGACGGGATTATATTTTATTTTATCAAATGAATAATAAAAATAGGTATAAAAAAGTGAATAAAATTTGACTATATCAATATTAAACAAACAAATTTAATTTAAAATGATAGGAAGTATTTATTAGCATGTGAATATGTGATCTATAATTTGTGTGCAGATGGCTGGTGGAGCAGTGGTTCTTACAGATTTTGTTTATTGGTTCATAATCTTTCCCAAACTCGATGAATATTATGACTTCACTTTCGTAAGTATTCCCAACATATTTTTTGTTAATCATTTACTCATCAAAATAATGCTCACTAATTTCTTATTTTGTAAAAATTTTGTATGATTATTTAAATAAATTAAATTAAAAATAAACTCTATCAAACTTTATCAGCAGGGTGGCTAAAGTGAAAAAGTGAATCTGGCCATGTGCAAAATTCACGTTTTAGGCCATATTTTATTTTTTAGAGTACTTATAATTTAAATTTACTAAATTAGAGTTGAATTTAAAAATCTAAGCCCTAAAAATTTTAGGGATTTTGTGCGGTGGCCACTTTACACACCCTTTGGGCCGTCCATGTTTAGAATTGCTTTACATTTAGAAGTGCATGCATTTTTATTTTTTTTCATGCAAGAGTAAAAAATTTGCCAATTTGGGCCTTAACAATTGGACAGTTGTGGGAAAGTGGGCCTTAGGCTCATTGCATATAATTGGAGTTCATAATACCTCTATAATACTCCGTACATAATACTCCGTAGGCAATTCAAATTGGTATTTTTGGGCTCTTAAATATATATATGAATAATTTGAAATAATAAAATATAAAAATAAAAAATACCTTCAATATTTTTACGGAGTGTATTGTTAAATAAAAATATTGAAGTTTCGAAATATTTTTTATTACTCCGTATTACAGAGTTTAAATTTTATTTGGGTATAAAAATATTACGGAGTATACAGTATGTCATATGTTAATATTTGAAATTGTTTTATGGTTTGTTTGGTAACAGCTTTTTCGATTAGTCTTAGCATTTTGGATAAAATTTTAACGGTACAAATTAATTCTGAAAACGCTAACGCTAAAGGCTACCGTCGGATAGCTTTTTCAAAACGCTAACGCTAATCTCTGACGCTGATGCCAAACGAGGCCTTAGTCCTAGTTGGGTTCTATCTATGGGAAGTTTCCCATATACATGAACTTTCTTTGGATGATATTTTAAGGAGAATATACTTAAATCGAACTAAAACATAATGATTTTCTCAATAAAGACTATATATTTTTATTTCCTAATATAGGACCATTGGTCATTATCCATTAGTCATTATTTAAGTAAATGTCTGACACTACTGGATATTATTTCTTCCACTAGACATTATTAAGTACTATTTAGGGAATAAAAAAGTTTAAATCCGATATTTAGAAATGATTTATATTTTTATCCTATTTAGTACAATTTTTTCACAGATTAACTTTAAAAATATAAAGCTAAACGTTATTAATAGATTATTTTTTTTCTTAAAATATCAAAGAATTGGATCATTTGTTTAAACATGCATGCAGTTGACGTTGGTTGCACATTCACTTAATTTGCTGCTTCTTGCCGATGCATCTCTGAATTGCTTGGTACGTAAACTAATTTACCACTTTATGGCATCAATTAATTCTCCTTTAATTTAAACATTTATTTATATTAAAAGAGAAATTAGATCAAAACACTATAAAATATGAACAATTGAATTTAAATATTACAAAGTGCAATAGATTAATTATCCTCCATACCAAATATTTGTATTGCAATTATAAATATTTTAATTGGAGCTGTAAGGTATGTTTTCATTGTACACACACCCTCCCATATATACTCGATTTTATATGGAATTTTATTGGGTTTTTTTTGTTATTGTTACGACTACTCGATAACTTTTATTATTTGTTTCTATGTTCTTGTTGATCATTTGATAAAAATATATTTTTATCATCTTGTTTTGTAAAATTTTTGAGGTAGTTTTTAAATAAATAATTTTTAACTTTTTTTTATTTTAATACCAATTTGTAACTAACATAATTTTAGAAGTTATGGATTTTTGCATTAATCTAAATGATTAATTCATTTTAGGGCAGAGAGAGTATGACAAAGTGTAATAATTTAATGGATCGAAAAATTATTTCAAATGATCTAACCTTTCCACGTTCTTCCAAAAATAATCTTAGTTTTCATTGTCATGGAAAATATGTGCGAGTTTTGGATTGCTTTTAGGATGCTAACAGTTACTTAACTGAACTTTTTAAAAATAATTATTTTTCACAAATAAATGAAAGGTGAGATTATATTAGCTAAATTCTCTCTTTTTTTATTTAAAATTTTAATTATAAATTTAAATGAGGTTTTTAAAAATGTTTTTGTAAATAATACCAAATTTAGTTATTTTTTTTCCAAAGTGACACTTATTATTTTTTTCCAATAATTGATAATCTAGTAATAATTTTTTTTCCAAAATAATATTACAAAAGTTGTGAAATTTCACAATAAATTATTCTAAAAAAATAGAACTAGTTTATTTACTCCATAACTCACTATATTTTTTGTAGGCTGCAATTATTTTCTTGAGCGGAACTTCGAATTATTTTTTATACTTACTATTATTATTTTCTAAAAAATGGAACTACAAAACTATTATATATTTTTTGATAATTCAGTATAAATATTTTTTACAAAATAACATTACAACAATTGTGAAAATGACACAATTATTATTCTCTGAAATGGAACTATTATTTTTAAAATGGAACTATTATTTTAAAGACTCATTACATTTTTTTGTACTGTAATTTTTTTCATGAACAACACTTCGAAATGTTTATCGATAATTATCTATTACTCGTATTACTTTTTTTCCAAAATGGTAATACAAAACTTGCGATTTTTTGATAATTCAGGACAAATCTTTTCCCCCAAAATAACAATTCAAAAGTTGTGAAAATGGCACAATAATTTTTTTCTCCAAAACGGAACAAAATTATTTTTATAACTCGGTACAATTTTTTTGTATTTTAATTTTTTTTCGAGCGATACTCTGAATTATTTTTCAATAGTCCATTATTATATTTTTCTCAAAACTGAATACAAAATTTGTAAATCGCAATATTTAGGAGGAAATTGAGACAAATCTCTAACAAGAGTCTACTGTTATATTTTAAAAACATAAATTTAAATTTAAAAAACGAAAAGATAATTACATAAAATAATTTCATCTTTCATTTATTTGTGAAAAACAGCCATTTTCCAAAAGTTTCATTAAGAAACCGTTAGCTTATTAACGACGACACAAAACTTGCACGCGTGCGGAAAGATTATTGTACAATTTTTCCGTGACAGTGAAATGTGAGCTTATTTCTAGAAAAACGTGAAAAAAGAGATAATTTTATTGTTATATTTTGACTTACTCAAATGTTTATTTGAGATATAATTTATTATCTTTTGTCTTTTTATAATGTTTTTAAACGAACCCTTACGTTTCCCTTGGACCGAGTCTGCCCCCGATAAGTAGCTTCTGGCTCCGCCATTGTACTTCGCACCAAATAAATGTATTGAAATTAAAACACTTTTAATAAAAGAAAGGATTACAAAATCAAAAATAATATGATTATATTATTTTATCAAATAGCTAAGAAAAATAGATAAAAAAATTGAGTACAGTTGGATCGTGTGATTTTCATAATTGGTCATTTATAATAGGGAGGAGGATTTCCTATTTAGTACTCTATTATCAAATATTACCCCAGATGTCCTTTTATCGGTATTTTTCCACAAATAATCCTTTTGGAATCTTTTATAATGTTGGTATTAATTTGAGATCTAAAAGTATAATTTCACAATGATAATATATACTCCCTCTGTCCCTAAATAAAGTTCCTCTTTCGTTTTTTCTTTGTCCCTAAATAAACTTCTCTTTTCCCTTAAAAAACCTCTTTTGCCCCTTACTTTTTCATACCCTACCTATCACATCATACCTTTTTACTAATAATCTATCTATCACATCTTACTTTAACACATCACATCAAGGGTATTTTTAGAAAGTCAACACCAAAATATCCCTCCCTTAAATCCTCAAAAAGTCAAAAATGGAACTTTATTTAGGGACGGAGGGAGTATATTTCTTGTCATACACAATTCCAAAGGCCGCTCCTGATGATCGTTTATGAATTACAATCGCTATCGACTACAACCATAATCTACAAATGTGGTCCTTCATCATAATTCTGGACCACAGTCATAGTCATTATTTTTGTGTTATTCATCTAACTAATATTAAAATGCGTCACTGGACATATATAGGGTAGATATTAAATTATATTTTTAGCCTTTAAAGTAACACCAACATGATACTCCCTCCGTTTTCAAAAACTCTTCCTCTTTCATTTTTTTTACTTCCAACAAAACACTTCCACTTTCTTTTAAAAAACCACTTTTACCCTTACTTTTTCATACTCTATCTATCACATCATACTTTTTCTCTAATACTCAATCTATCACATCTTACTTTTACCCATCACATCAAGGGCAAAATTGGAAGTCAACTACAATTTAACACTTCCTTATTTTTACACAAAGTCAAAATAGGAACACTTTTAAAAAACGGAGGGAGTAGAAGATAAAAAAAATGACCATTTATGTAAAGGCATCCTTAAAAGGATTACGGAGGTAATATTAGATAATAGAAGACTAAATATAGAAATCTAATGTTATAAAAGACTAATTATGAAATTACTCTAAAAAAGATAACTTGTGGATTTATCTTATTTTTTTTAATAATGGAATTTTAACTTTATTCACAGCAGGAATTGCCATGGTTCGGGATTGCATATTTTATTTTCTGGACAGGGGCTTATGTCTTATCCCAATGGATTGTTCATGCTTGTGAATCTATCTGGTATGATCACCTCTTATATCTCTTTCATTTTTTCTTTTTGCCAGTTGCTAAATTATACTGTTTTTCTTCACTAAACTCTCTAAATAGTCCTTTATAAATGGGCGATTTCCATTTTTAGTTTATATTTATCAAATACTCCCTCCGTCCCAAAAAGATTTACACGTTTCAAAAAAATTGCGTCTCATAATCTCTTACCCATTTCTATTAAAAAACCACTTTTACCCCTTACTTTTTCAAACCATACCTATCACATCGTACTTTTTTTCTAATAATCTACACATCACATCCTACTTTTACCCATCACATCAAGGGTATTTTTGGAAAGTCAACACAAAATTATCCCTCCCTTAATTTTAACTTTAGTCAAAATGGGTAACACTTTATGGGACGGAGGGAGTATTAAGTAAATACTCTTTATTAATTTATTAAAAAATAAATTTTTCCATTTTCGTGCCATTAGACAAGGACCAAACGTGGAAATGTGGAATGGTACCCAATCAATAAGAATCACGAAAATAAAATTTGATAATATGGACGAAGTAGGAAATTCCCGCGTTATAAAGAAATTTTTGGAGAATTTATTCTTTTTAAACCACTTTTAATATAAAAATTAATAGATAAGAAAATTGTATAACTGTAGTTTATTTATAACAAATCAAAATTTGTACACCACAAAAAATAGTTTATCAAAAAAATTAATTTTTAATACGAGAATCTATTCGAAACTGATATGAATTAAAAAGATATTCGAAGTTATTATCCCATTTTAATAACGTAAGAGCTAAAAAATTTTATCTCCAAAATAAGAGTATAATGCTAATAATGCCAATATATATAACAATGTCATTATATAACAGTGCAAACTTGTATATTGAGAAAAAACATGAAGTTCTTATTTTGAGGATGGGTGATATATTTACTCTTATTTAAGATGATTTTAAATTATTTATTAATTCCTATATCTTCCAAGATAATTCTCATATTAAAAAATGAATTTTTTGGTAAATTATTTTTAATGATAATTTTGACTTTTTACATACAAACTACAATCATATACCTTCGTCCCAGAGTATTGATCTACTTTTGAGTTTTTTGTCAAAATCGGCCATCTTTGACCACAAATTAAATAAAACTAATATTAAATATTGATACAAAAATAATTTTATTAGATTTATGTATATAATTTTATTTAATTATAGGTCAAATGTTGAAAATGGTTGACTGCAAAAAGTTAAAATTCGTCAAAATATTTAAAAACAGAGGTAGTACTTTCAATATTAAAAATGGTTTTAAAAAAGTAAACTCTCCAAATAGTTCTTTATAACGGGAGAATTTCCATATTTAGTCCTTATTATCAAATATTATTTTTGTGGTCCTTATTGATTGGGTAGCATTTCACGTTTGGTCCTTGTCTAACGGCATGGAGACAGAAAAATATAGGTGGAGGACTAAACGTGGAATGATACCAATTAATAAGAACTGTCAATATAATATTTGATAAATGTGGACTAAATATGGAAACTCTCCATTTATAAAGGACTATTTAAAGAATTTACTCTTTTTTCTTTGAAAAAAATGATTGATAGAATTTAGGATGAGTATGGACAATTAGATTTGGGTAATAAGACACTTGAGTTAAACCACATTAAAAGATTAAATTCAATCGATGAGTTAATTCAACTCAAAAGTTTATATACTGAATATTTTGCTCTTGAAATTTCGATGTGGGATGATACTCTAACAACGATTATAGTCAATTTATTATATATATGTATATATGTTTGGTTTTTCTTGTGATTAGATAATAATAATGTACATGCATTTAGAAAGTCTTTGATAATAATTAATGTTACAGGTGGCCATACCCTTTTCTGGATTTATCATCACCAAATGCTCCCCTCTGGTATATATGCATGCATGAATTTTAACTTCTTCAATCTAGCTTCATCACCTTTATTTTTATGATCTCCAATAATAAAATAATCTACAAAAAAAATGTACTTCCTCAGATCTAAAAATCTTTCATATTTTAATTTTTTTATTTTCTTGAATTTAAAGTATGAGAAAAGTATATTTAATCATAATATGAATTTAATATAATTAATTAGGTTTATCTTAAGACAATGTTTTGATGTATCAAGTATTTGTACTCCGTATCATTTATTTATTTAGATTATGTATCATTTGTGATAAAAGAAAGTTACCATTTCACCAAAAAAAACCAAAACAAGAAAAAAATTGACTGTAAAAATCAAATTGAAAAATTAATTTTAGAACAGAAGGATTATTGTGGTTTGTGAAAGTTAAAATTTGTGTCCAACAAATTAGACTTGAGGAAGTATGTAGTTAATTTCATTTACGTCCAAGTTGGTTGGCGATTTAATTATAATATGTATATAAATAATAATTACAATAATATGATGCAGGTATTTGGTGGTGGCATTAATGCATATTCCCTGCTTTGGTAGTGTTGTATTACTCGTTGAGCTCAAAAAATGGGCACTCTCCAAATGCCAACCTACATATCATCTTGTATTTAGTGATGATGAGATCATTACCTCATGTTAATCATCATTATCATCATTTAATTTTATAAGATATCATTCTGTACACCTTTTAAATTCCACACGTGAAATATGTTACTTCTCACTATGGTTAAGTGTTTCTTTTGCTCCGTACTTTACTGAAGTATTCAGATGTACTGTGGTTAGCATTGGAGAGATTTGAAATCAGATCTGGACTTTGATAATTTGCATACACCCAGAAGCAGACGAAGCAGAGAGTGTTACAACATCTATTGAAAAGAATGTTGTAAATGTAAAAAACATAAAAAATTACGCACTCCGGAGGAGCTCTCCTTCTTGTAAGCGCTCACGTCTGTGTAACAGTCCTCTACTAAATCACTAAATGTAGATTACGCGGTACATAACAATATGATGAGACACTTTTTTGGATTGTTATTACAAACTCTCTAACTAAGTTTTTTAAACCGTATCGTGTACACTTTGCTTCGACTATCACATCTCCACTTTAGCCAAAAAATTAGTTAACACCTTGGAACTAACATTTACAACATCGAATAACATTTAACTATTTCATGTATTAAAAGCGCATAAAATAAAATGGACCTAATTAAGAGTATCTCCAACCTTGTATATCATATTGGCTTGCTATTTTTATATTTTAACAAGTGAATAATGACATAGCAAGTGATATTTTGTTGCATTCCCCAACCATGGCTTGCTAATCCATTCTATAACTCTTAGCTTTCTATAATTTGAAGAGCTTGTTATTTGTAACAAGCCAAAGTCATTTTTTGGGAAGCTTGTTAAAATTAAACACACCCATTGGAGAAGAAAAAATAGGTTGACTTGCTATATTATGACTTTTAGCAAGTCAAAGTNCAACCTTGTATATCATATTGGCTTGCTATTTTTATATTTTAACAAGTGAATAATGACATAGCAAGTGATATTTTGTTGCATTCCCCAACCATGGCTTGCTAATCCATTCTATAACTCTTAGCTTTCTATAATTTGAAGAGCTTGTTATTTGTAACAAGCCAAAGTCATTTTTTGGGAAGCTTGTTAAAATTAAACACACCCATTGGAGAAGAAAAAATAGGTTGACTTGCTATATTATGACTTTTAGCAAGTCAAAGTAGGATGATTGGAGATGCTCTAAGAACCATGCAAAGGATGTGCCCCATCCCCGAAGGTCCCCTTTGGCCCAACTGGCAGTCACTGAACTGAAAGAAGGTAAATGAGACTTTGATCGCATATTGCTTGCAAGAAGTAGAGCTTGCTCCAGGTAATTACAGATGTCTTATGTTTAGCATAGTTATTTCTCTGTCGATGACGACAAGCATTGTTCAGCACCTTCGGGTTTGCCCGCTGCTCCGCCCACCGCCACGACTCGAATTTTGAGGATGTTTGGCTGTGCGCTGCTTTTAACAATTTAGCTTCTGCTTTAAGTGGAAGTGATTTTACTCTGTTTGGCATGTCAGCTTCTGCTTTTCACCAACATTATTTTGTACATGGAACACCGTTTCGGAGAAGCAAGTATGAGGTGCTTTTGCTTTCAGTTTTTGTAGAAATTACTTTATCAATAATCTAATCACTCCCAAACACCCTCTTTATACACACTCCGTATATAAATTTTACTCAGAATTTTTTAAAAATTAAATTTAATACTCCCTCCGTCCTATAATAATCTTCCCGGTTCGCAAAACGAAGAAAAATCCCAAGTTTTTTCAATCTATTTTATTTAAATATTGGTATAGAAATAAAAAATAAAACATACATATTTAAAAACTACACCAAAAGTTCAACAAAGCAAGTGGTGACAAGAATATTTTATTTTATCATATAGGCCATGAAAAAACACAAATAAATATAAATTCCAGTGAAGTTGAAATAGTACGGAGGGAGTAACTTTTATTTTAAGTGTCCAAATTGAAGTGTGAGGGAGGGAGTGATGAATGACAATAATCAATGGCTTCTTCTTTGTTGAATTGCTGCAAAGCTTCAGCTGCTGCAGCTTCATCATCTCTCCCAATCTCTCGTCTCCGTTTCCCACACAAACACTCATTTTCGCCGGAATTTCTCAAGATCCGGCGACCCTCCGCCTCTCCCCCACCCTCACCTCTCGTTTCCCCTTCTCCGCCGTCTCCTTTGCAGCTCCCTACCTTTTCCTCCAAAGAGGTAATCAATTCGAGCACCCTACTGTAATTTTTTCGATTCCAAAGCAATCCTGCCCCTAAATCCTTCCCCAAATCAAGCTCTTCCAAAACCCTAATCCAAGCGACAAAAGAATCTAGTATATATATTACCATTCCTTTTTTAATTAAATTTAAAAAAATCTCGTCTGCACATAATTTGATTGTTTGTCAGTAGTTGCTGGATCATTTGGTGAAGAAGGAGGACTTGAGCGAAGAAGAAGCGGAAGCTTCGCTGGAGTTGTTGCTCGCTAATGGCAGCGAAGCTCTCATTAGCGCTTTCCTTGTTCTATTGCGAGCCAAAGGAGAAACCTTTGAAGAGGTCTCTAATTTTCGCAATCCCTTCTTTTCTTGCACTTTATGAGTAGCTCGCTGGGTTGGACCATAAGACACTTGGATCTGTGTTGGGATGTAGATTGTAGGACTAGCTAGAGCCATGGTCAAGCGTGGCTTGGTAGTCGAAGGCTTGGGCAATGGTGCGGTGGACATTGTGGGGACAGGCGGTGACGGGGCAAACACGGTGAATATTTCCACCGGAGCCGCCATTCTCGCCGCCGCTTGTGGTGCTAAAGTTGCTAAGGTAGGTAGGTAGTGATCCAGCAAATCAAAAGGCTCCTTCAAATTTAGTTTCCCTCGTAATGTCGCCTCTTTTAATTTCTTGCAGCAAGGAAACCGGTCGAGCTCTTCTTCTTGTGGTAGCGCTGATGTTTTGGAAGCATTGGGTGTAAACATCGAATTAGAACCCGAGGTGAGCTGTGTCTTCTTATTTTGACTGTTGGCTTTTGGTATGCTAATTGTTCGAATGTCAGCTTTCAGTATGTCACCATTTGAAATGTCGTCGTGTGTCTCTCTATAGAAACTTTTTCATTAACTCGTCTTGCCGAAATGTAGCTAGCTAGGCTTGACCTTTATTTGTTGTGAGAATTATTGGATTTCTCAAAATCTCATTGGTTTGGTAAATAAATGTAGGGAGTGAAGAAATGTATGGATGAAGCAGGAATATGTTTCATGATGTCTCCGTACTACCATCCGGCAATGAAGATTGTAGCACCTGTTAGAAGGAAGCTTAAAATAAAGACAATCTTCAACTTCCTAGGCGCCATGTTAAATCCAGCAAGGGTGCCTTTTGCCCTTGTTGGCGTCTACGATCAAACCGTTGTAAGTTTCGGTCTTTGCTAAGACATTACGACATGCACAAATGGCTTCACTAAAATGAGCCCTTTTGAAAGATGTTCAATAACAAATTCATGAAAATTTGGCCTAAAATGGACAATGTCATATTCGCTGCGTCCTGAAAAGAGAGTCACAGTTTGACCTTTTTACCCTTTTGTTCATCGTTTTACTTCTTTAACCTCTGGTGTGTTCTTGAGCCAAGAGTCTTGTAGAAATTGTAAAAAAAAATGATTTGATAAATGTTCCCAAAATCCAAATTGCATAGGTCAGCAAGATGGCCAAAGCCTTGCAAAGGTATGGGATGAAGAGAGCTTTAGTAGTTCACTCAGAGGGCTTAGATGAATTGAGTCCTCTAGGTAAGTTAGGGTATGCTTGGTTTAACTAATTCATTCTTTATTGCTTTTATCATCAGAATAATTAGTAGCTTGATTTCACTCATGTTTGGCTTAAATATATCTCTAACGGTTTCCTTAGCAAAATTCATTCATTTGTGTCAAATAACCATTACCAAACAAGACCCCATTTTTTTTATGGATTTTTGAGGACTTGGACCGGATCGATTTGGTGTTTGATTCCCAGTTTGATCAAATCCGGTTTTAATTAATAACAGTGATGATGAATTATTTTTCTTCATCTAGCTTTTGCAAAATTAACCATTTCAACAACAAACAGGGCCCGGGGTAATACTTGAGATCACACCAGAGAAGATTGAGGAAATTCATTATGATCCATGTAAGTACATTTTCTGCTCAAAATACAAGTGTCAGTTTTACTTTTACCATTAAACTTCATCATATTTAACTGTTAATTTTTCACAAGTCATAATGTTATACTCCGTAGTATATGAAAAGAATTGACAGAGTACTCCGTGTTTGAAAATTTTTGCCAAAAGAATTTACCGAGATTACTTTTTTACGGAGTATTATAAAATTTTACGATGTATGAATAATTAGCAATCAAACTTCATGATTGACTACAAAAATTAAACTGCCGATAAGAATATGTTTTTTTATTTACTTACAATCACAATCCTGAACTTTTAGTTGAGTTGTTTATTTGAAAACCATCACGTTTATTTTGGACGGAGCTCGGGAGTAATTAACAATCTCTCTCATCTGCACTAAAACAAATAAGCTAAGATTGTGTAAATTACTTGTAACTCATTAATATTCTCTCCGTACTATTTTAAGTGACATTTATGTCTTTTTTTTAATATGTTAAAAAAATGAATAAATCTTGACGTAATATATATATCCATATTCAGTAAAATTTGGGATTCGTCGTTGCAATTTGAAGGATCTGCAAGGAGGGGGTCCGGAGTATAATGCTGATATATTAAGGCGTGTGCTCTCGGGCGAGAGAGGGCCCGTCGCAGATGCATTTGTAAGTTCATTATTGACCAGTTTAAGAACAACCATGAAGTGCGACTGTCTCTACCATGGAATAATCCTTCCACATACTAGAGATATGGAGAGAGTGTGTGTGTTTATGCAGATTTTGAATGCGGGCGGTGCACTAATGGCAAGCGGACATGTGGCAACGTTGGGAGAGGGAGTAGACGTAGCTCGGTCCATGCATGCATCCGGGAACGCCCTCTCTACGCTTTCCACTTGGATCAATGTCTCAAATCGTCCAACGTAAGTACACGGGTGAATAAAAGTTATAGTTTTGTCATTAAGTTTTATGGAGAGAAATTAAAAAGAATGTGATGGATTCTAGCCCACCAACTATGGATGTACAAGAAGTATATAATAGCAAAACTCTCGAAATATGATCTTTATTAGCTTAATTCAGCATGGGTTTACAAAGGAGATTTTACACCCTATTTATAGTTTTTTACACACTACGGTGTTTGTGGTAATCGATCATTGTTCTCTTTTCTTGCCACGATTGATCTAATCGGCGCCAATTATGGACGGAGAATCGATCATCAATCACCCACAATCCGTGGGATTGACCGTCTCTTGCCAGCCAGTTCGAGGCCCAAGCCCAATCTCTCAAATGATCCCCTTTCGGCCCACTCTACACAAATGTCGGACAGATTAACGTAATAGCTTACTGGGCCGGTTCTATATCTTGTTGGGCCATATATCCAACACAATGTGTACCATAGAACAAATAAAAGTGTATACTTTCATTCAAATATGATCTAAAATTCATTTGCCCTTCGTTCTAATTGTTCTATATTTTGATAACCGTGGAGAGCAAAGAAATATTTGCATTAAATAGAACTAAAATTTAAATCATTTCCATATATAACACTTAACTTGTTTTATATCCCTAAATAGCACTTAATAATGTTCATAATGTCCAGTGATGGTGAACATTTATTCGAATAATGACTAATGGATAATGACTAAAAGTGTTACATTGGAAAAAAACACATATGATGCTATTTAGGGAAAAATCATTATACTTTAGTGCTATTTAAGTAAATTCTTTGAGAACAAATTTGGAGTAGTATAACTAGACTATTATTAGACCCTTTAGTTTTTGGATATGAGTTGTAGTTAAAAATCAAGAGGAGCAGAAGAGTCTAATAGGCATCTAAAGCAAACTTGAACACTATCTGTTCTTGAGTATTTACTCCGTCCGTCCTGAAATATTCTTCCCATTTACTATTCATACGGTCAAACTTTAATCACTTTCTTTACCTATTTTCATTAGTTATTGATAAAATAATATAATCTTATCACCACTTGTTTTGTAAAACTTTTGATGTAGTTTTTAAATATATAAATTTTATTTTTTAATTTTACACCTACAATCAAATAAATTGAATTAAAAATAAAGTCGGTCAAACTTCGTAAACAGATTCGAAAAGAACATTATAGGACGGATGAAGTATCTTTTTTTATATTTTTTCCAGTGAACTAAGGTTGACCTCCAGTTTGGTTTGTGCATATCTGTAAAATTTTATGGTGTTAGTGGCCTCCCCATAGCAAAGTTGTTCTTAATGGGTGGGGGGGGGGGGGNTTTATTATTTCTGTGTGAGGAATAAATTAAAATTTAACTACATTATAACAAAAAGTATTTCATTCGTCCCAAATTAAATTACCTGTTCATTATGGGAGATGCTAAGGGTATACCAAAAGGTGTACCCCATTTGTACATCATCACCTTCATAACCACTCATTTATTTTTTATTTTTATTTACTTAATTATTTTTAAATTTCTTGCCCATTTAAGTGGTAATGGAGGGGGTGAGGGACAAACGGGGTACACCTTTGGTGTACTCTTAGCATTTTCCATTCATTATTCACATGTTCAAAATTTATTTAGTTTCTTTCTCTATTTTTGTTAGTCATTTTATAAAATAGTACAATCATGTCGATACTAGTTTTGCAAATCTTTTTATGTAGTGTTTAAATATGTAATTTTTTAAATTCTATAACATTTTTCACGTAAAATGATTTGAAAATAATTTCACTCAAACATCCTAAACCCAAATAAGTGATTTACGAATTCACACCTACGTACTTCGTAATTATTAAGAATCAAATTCCGTTTTAACACTCTTCCATAACGTGCTGAGTTAGGTTGTCCGTTGTTAACTCTAAGGAAAAAACATTGGACCATATTCTAGGATTCTTATTGGTCCCTATCAATGTAAACGTATGTCGACATTATTTATTTTTTTATGTATGTAAAATATATATTGGACAATTAATATAATCTCTCTTGTTCAAAAAAATTTTCTTGTTTTGACACTTTTAGTCAAATAGTGAAATTGTTTTACCAAAAATTGTAAGAAAAGTATAGTAAGTTATAATATAAATTTAATATAATTTTGTTCATCTTAAGATATAGTTTTGATAAATCAAATATTTATATCATTTATTTATTTAGGTTATATTTAATTTTTTGTCAAAAAATCTGACAATTTAACTAAAAAATCAAAATATGAAATTTTTTTTGGACAAGGACTTTTTGGGGTGATGACGAAGAGATTTGCAGTCTACACGTCACTTTATTTCTTCTTTCTATGGTCCCCTCATCCAAAGTTCCAAACCGGATTATGAATGCGAAATGAGCCCACCACAAAAAAGTTCCTATTTGTTATTTATGGAGTTAGATTTTAAAAAAAATTGACAATTTTTAGTTTTTACTACTCCGTAATAATTGATAATATAATATAATACTTTCACACTATTTTGTAGAACTTTTAAGGTAATTTTAAAAAATATAAAGTTATCCTTAATTTGAAACCAAATTATTAATAAACTGACAAAAAAATAATTACGGTCAAATTTCATAAATCACAACATGAATTTTATTTTAGGACAAAGAGAGTATCGAGACATTGACATGATTTTAGTCCTATATCACTCTTTTAATTGCATTCATGTTTGTATTACTAAAACTTGTGTGCAGAATGTCAGTGCGTAATGTTTGAAGGCATTGTACAAACAATTTTTGTTGATATAACAAAAAAATTTTAAATAAGGAAAGAGAGGAATATTCAAAAAATCAAAACAGAAAAGAGAAAATATACTATGTACGCTTTAAAAATTGTCACACTGAAAATAATAATAATACTTCCTCCGTCCCCCTAAGATGTTCTCATTTTGATTTTTGGTGATTTTTAAGAAGAGTTGAAAAAAAGTGAAAGTTTACCATAATATCCTTAATGAAAATGAGTGGTATGTATTAAATGAGGTGAGTGAGATACTGAGATGTAATAAATAAAGTAAGTGAGGGTAGTTGTGGTATTTTAATTATTATAAAATGAAATGAGAAGATCTATTGTGAACAAAGAAAAATGGCTATTGGAAAGATCTATGGGAGACGGATGGAGTAATTAATAATAATAATAATAATTAATAATTAATAATAATAATAATAATAGTAATATTCCAACACCAATACATGTCAAGCCGGCTGGCTGCTAATTCATTTTCATTTCGCCTCCCCTTTTTGAATACACTTAATTTTTGAATCTTTTTTTTTAATTCTTTTGGTATTATAATAACAAAACTATACATAAATCCAGGAAGAACAAAGAGATCCCTTTTCATTCCTTCAATCCCGAAATCTGTTTTCTTCTTCCCCCAAATTAAAATTAGTTTCAGATTTCATGCGTTACTGTTTCTCCGGCTCCAAAATCCCATCCCTGAAATGGGTAATTACGGCGGCGGCAGTCATACTGCTGACGAGAACGGCGCCGTTCTGCTACGCCGGCGATCCTCGAATCGAGGAAGCTTCCCCGGTATTGTGCGGCCGGAACATGACCTCCACCTTCGTAATCACTCCCTTGTTCACCGCCGCCATGGAATCCCTCTCGCAGTCAGTCACCGCTCGCGGCTGGGGATATTCTGGCATGGTCAATTCCACTTTCAACGCCTCAATCTACGCCCTGGCGCAGTGCTACGGAGATCTTCCTCGCCGCGATTGTCTCCTCTGCTTCGCCTCCAGCCGGACGAAGCTCCCCCGCTGCCTACCGCGCGTCTCCGGCCGGATTTTCCTCGACGGCTGTTTCATCCGCTACGACGATTTCGACTTCTTCAACCAGAGCACCGATCCGGATCTGGACAGAGCGAATTGCAGCAGTAGCGCGCGGGGGGATGCGAAATTCGAGACGAAAGCGGGGAGGTTAATTGCCCAAGTGGCAGGGACGGCGGCGGCGCGTGGGGGATACGCGAGTGCGAAGGAGGACGGGGTGTACGGATTGGCGCAGTGCTGGAAGAATGTGAGCGGGGAAGGGTGTAGGGTTTGCTTGGAGAAGGCGAGGAGGGAGGTGAAGAGGTGTTTGCCGAGCAGGGAAGGGAGGGCGTTGAACGCCGGCTGTTATTTGAGGTACTCCGCCGTGAATTTCATCGGCAACCCGAATGAGGACGACGGCGGTGGCTCCGGTGAGTTTTTTTTCGTTCACACTCCGTCTAGCTAACTCTTTACTACAGTACCTTAGATTTTAACAGTAAAATACAGTCTTTTTTTTATTTAAAAAAATATAGTTCAAAATAGTTCTACTTCCTCCGTCCTACTTTAGATTACAATATTCTCTTTTTGTTGAAATTAAGGAAGAGTCAAATCAAATTTCTTTTCCCCAAATTACTCCCAAGTGGCCCACTCACATGGATGAATAGTATGTGAATCGTGTAGAAGTGGGAGGGTAAAAGAGTCAATTCCTTGTAAAGTTATTGACTTTGTAATTTTTTTTGGGACAAAAATGTGAGAGAATATTGTAATCTATTTCGGGACGGAGAGAGTATATCCAAATACGGAGTATGAAGTACGGAGTATTTTATCCAATAATATGGTACTTAATACAAAACTTACATTCCAGATCAGAAATTTTTTGAAAATTGTAAGGTTTATCGCTAAAGATAAAAAATTGCACCAAATGTTTTTGAATTCTTCAGAAATTACATAGTTACTCTTGAGAATTAAAAAGTACACCAAATGCCCTGATTCCTTGAACTCTTCGAAAATTGTACATGATAGTGTAAATTTAACTGGATAGGTTTGACCGGGTATGATCAGGTCAAAATGGACTCTATCAAGTAAGCCAAACACACGAGAAAAAAATAACACAAAGATAACCTAGACCGGAAAAGAACTCATGTGCCCCAAATTATATTTCTTACTGTGTCTCAAGAGTGTACAAATGTGTGTAAGAATGAATGAATGTTCCTCCTCCACCTCTTACCATCTATTTATATAGGGTGGAGGAGGTCGATTAAGGTAACAAGCCCTTCTTCAGGCATAGACCTAACTTCAATTCGTATCTACATAAGGAAATAGGCCCTTGATCCGCTGCTCGTTGGCCTAACTGTGAATGAGCGCCAATCTCACCCTCATTTATGTTGTCCAGCGGTTTGGCGTGAATCTCACTCCGTCATTAAGTCTTGAAGATGGCGGGGTA